AACCGGTTTCATGGACTTAATGCCGAAAAGAGAAAGGCATCTTTAGCCTCAGTTAACGTCCAATTTTGCAGATGTATAAATAATCTTTATGTAATGATTAGAACTCCTGCAGAACATTGATCAGTTCTCTTGTTTGAATAGATACAATTATGATTAATTAGAAGTACTCACGAGGGAGAAGGGAAAAAAAAAAAGGAGGAGGTATAGGATTGAGCTTTGAAATCGGCACAGAAGGATGTCTAATCCATTGTGTTGTCAGGTGCATTGTTGTTCTGTGTTGGAGTGGGAGTTTGAGCAGCTTCTAACCAGCAACCTTGAGCCCTCTGCCAGTTACACATTTCAGAATAACATTTTGATGTCTTTGCTTGAGCTTCATAAATATACAACATTTTTCTTACTAGCCATTCCCGAGGTCAGATCAGTAGCATTTAGCGCTGGGGGATCAGCACAGGCACAGCAAAGATTGAAAGTAGCAGGATAAGTCAATTATGATGCAGAAGGAGAAGCCGATGAGGTTATCACGCCTACCGGGAGACTGGAGTGTTCAAATATCCCAATGAGAATGTGCCCCTGCAAAGGGCTGGAGTGTATTCTCAAGGGATTTTAAGTAATTGCCTCTACCAGGAGGCAGCGGGCAAGTGCAGAGCTGTTACCTTGTGATCATCGGACAAAACTTTTCATCCGATGATCGAACCGTTGTACGATTTTCGTACGGCGGCTCCATCCTGCCCCGATTATCGCAAGGTTCAATCAGCCTGTAGTGAATAAAAACAAAAACACCTGGACGAATTGCGGTAATCGACCGCACGTATTTTCTTTTGCCCATGAGCAGTGTAAATCGTACAAACTTTTACGTACGGAAACGCCACCAACCTTGCGAAAATCGTACGATCGGCCGAAGTTTTCTAAACTGCTGGTAAGTCAAAAGTCGATCGATTGTACAGTATTTGAGGTTGTACACTGCCCATCAACCTTACGAATATCGGACGAAAACGCAATCGAAAATCGGCCGATATTCGTAAGGTGTATGGGCGGCTTTACACAGGGAACTTTTTGATAGGAGAGAGGGGAGAGTGGTGAGCTCAGTCATTTCCTGATTCCCCTTCTATATCCATTTACAGGCTGGAAGCATGTCCTTGACCAAGCTTTATTGCATTGATTGCAGGGTAGAAAATGGAGGGCGGATACCTGACTGAGCTGCCTGGTAGGGTTCAGTGGATCCCGAGAGTGGATGAACAGAATTACAAAGTGTTTTGCAGGAAAGGCAACTCACAAGTCTATTTCAGTTACTTGTCTGTAGCTCTGGTTTCAGAGTTAAAGAGATGCTATCACTTTGGTGTTGGTGTCACTGTGTTGTTGTAATTTACCAGGGTGGATGAGGTCAATGCCCTCCATCCAGGTTCGGCAATTGGCCACTCAGGTCTGAACACTAACATGAAGAAAGGCCACAAGTTGCCTTAAACTCAAAAGCCCTGCTCAGCCAGAGCCATGGAGCGGGGAGGTTGCCAACGGTTGCCTATAGGCGAGTATAGCATGCTGGTGAAGGGGCGGACTATAAGCAGACCATGTCACCTTGCCCTAAATTGGCAAGGTGATCATCTCTTTAGGGTCTCATTGTAAAAGGTTTAGATTTAGAATTAAGCTACCATTAAAGTCTTAAAGGTTTAGTGTTGGGCAAGGGGACGTTAGGGTTAAGTTATTGGTAGCAAACGCAACACATACACATTACAAAATGTCTAGGTAAAGAAAAAGATATACATTTCAGAAACGCCTGTGTGTATGAGCCCTGAATACAGCTACATGAACGCATGCATCAAACCCGTCCATTTTTCTTTGCATCGATTTTTCTTTGAACTGATTAAAATATTTGGATAACTTTTGGAGGAATCAAAACCTCTTGTGTTCTTCATCGGTTTCCTTTTTCTGAAATCACAAATCAACATTGTATTGGTTGTAAAGAAATATTCATTTGATCGATTGTGAAGGTTCCCATTCACCCAGGTCATGGCATATCTGGAAGAAATAAATCAAAGCAACTGCACGTGCTGATGGTACACTGGACATCCGACTAGCTTTCTCGATTCAGAAGTTCTGAATTCCAGAACGTCTTCAAGAAAAATGCAGCAGGTCAGTTGCTTTGATTCATTTCTTGGAGATATTCATTTGATCCTTGCCACTGAAAATATGAGAATTGATAAATTCTTTAAGCCACCGTATGACTTGAACGTTGAAATGATCCAAGGATTTTCCAACCTGTATTTATTCAATAGGTTTGGAGGTCGGCTGGTGTGCTTTGGCATTTGATTTGCAGATGAGAGTTGTGCCTGGAGGTCAGAGGATAGAATCATCACCTCTTCCTTTCATACCAGCCCTGTGCTTGGAGAAATCAAATTTTACCTTCTTCTGATTGATTTTTAAACCTCGTTGGCCATCTGGGTTTGGCAAAAGTGAGGAATACTACAGAAATGTTATTAAAATGTACACCTCCAGGGTGAAAAAGAAACAGTCAGAGGTTTTTGCAAGCATAACAAGGGACCACAATTTATATTCTGCATCGGCGGCCCTTCGGCGGTTGGTCACACCTGTTTGCTGCTCAAGAAGCAGCCAAGTCACTAATTTGTCTCATGTAGAGAAATTATAAAACACAGTTTTCACATAAGTGTCAGGAGACCGGTTTAAAATTAGTCCCATGGGAAACAAAAGTAATAATCATGATATAGATGTGCGAGTGAAATCAGGAGGTGTTTGCGAGCAAAGACAGCGCCAAAAAGGGAAGCAACTTTATAAGCAAACATTTATTTTGAACATCATTTTTTTTTAAATGGTATAATTCAATATACAAATATATGAGGGGGAAAAAAAAGATGAGAATTGCCCAGAGCACTAAAAATAATCAATTACTTTGGACATTGGTCTCCGTGCCTGTTAGAAGAGACAAATTGATTTAGACTGGCTCCATATTTGTGCATCGTGCAAGCTTGTGGTAATATGCATAGCTTAACGTAGTGGTTCTCAACCTGTGTAACCTCAGGACCCACATTTGTCCTTGGACATTAAGTGGTGACACAAGTCGCACTGCAATGGAATGCATGGCATTGAGATACCGTGCGATCCAGTGCGGGCAATCCGTGCGATCCTCAGCTTGGGGTCCAGTGCTGGGCTGCGACGGAGCTCCATCCATACATGCATTGCTTGTACAACTCCCATGTGTGCCCTGTAGAGGTGTTAGGAGCCAGAATGTGACGTCACTCCGATCCAGGCACCTCTACAAGATCACGTGAGGGAGCGCGAAGCAATGCATGTATGGATGAAGCTCCCTCACGGCCATAGCTCCAGCCCATCCCACCCCACCTCAAGCTGACACTTGGCACCAGGCAGCATATTCTGAATGACTGATCAGTACAAGAACTGATATTGCTATGCCAGGGGGAGGCTGAGGAGCCTCTCACATAGAAAAGTGGAAGGCATGCGGCGACCCATTGAAAACGGGGTCGCGACTCACTTTTGGGTCACGACCCACCAGTTGAGAACCAAGGGTTTAATGCAACACAGGTTAAGGCACGGTATAATGTGTGTTGCGATGCATTTAGATTGGCACCCTAATGCACACATACAGTAGTCGGCAATGCTTCTTTGCTACAGAGCTCTACAACGCATATACCGTGGATTCTGGTGCAATGCATTGACAAAAATGCTGCAGGTTTGGGTTTTATTTTTTGTGCATTGAGGCATTCTGCCAGCCCATTTAAGGGGAGCATGAGCTTTAAACATTGAAGCACTGCTGCAAAGGAGACTGGCATGTATCATCTACCTTGGCAGGTCTGCAAGATTTATGGACCTTACCTGGTCGCAATGCACAATAAAAGTCTATGGAAACAAAAGAAACTACACTGCTCATCTCATTGAGGAGGAAAAGGCGTAATACTTGTATATCACTAACCCCCCACTAAAAAAAAATAGCATTTGTTTATAGTAAAAAAGTAGACAACACACTCCTATCTTAATTTATCTTTATTTACAGGGCATTCTAAGGATAGTTAATTTAATTACAGCTAGATTCACATGATTGTTTTCAATCAGGAAAACTCATTCATTTTGATGCAGGAAAATGCAGAAGAAATCCACTATGTGGCTGGTTCAAATCTTTTGCAGCAGTTTATTATTAAAGCAAAAGGGAAACCATTCAGTCCAA